CTGCTCCCTGCATGTATTTCCTTACATTTATCTGTGTTAAATTTCATCTGCCAGGTATCAGCCCAGTCGCTAATTAAATCCAGATCCCATTTAAGCCTTTCTGCTGCTAGATCAGTATCTGCTACACCGCCCACCTTGGTGTCGTCTGCAAATTCCAAGACCATCGTCACATACCCCAACCAGAAACCATGGATGACTGCACAGTTACACATGCTTCTGAGAACCCGAGACACTGCCTTCAGGTCAGATGAAAGGGCTGCCCTAAGAAAAGCATGGGCCAACCTGTCTTAGGCCATCAGAGCGGCAAAGCGTGAATCCACAGCCAATTCCAAGACACTGGTGACATACAACACATGTGGCAGGGCAACCTGACCATCACCAACTACAGGATGTCTCCACCTGCCTGTAACGGACAGGCCTCCCTTCCAGATGCACTGAATCACTTCTACGCATGGTTTGAAGCACAGAATGACATGGCATCAAAGAAGACCTCCCCACCCTCCAATGATCAAGTGCTCTGCCTGGCCACAGCTGATGTGAGGTGAAGGCCGCCGGACCAGACAACATTCTTGGTCACATGTCAGGGGATGTGTGGACCAGCTGGCAGATGTCCTCACAGACATCTTCAATTTCTCTTTGAGTACCACTGTCATTCCAATGTGCTTCAAAGCCACCACCATCATCCCCATGACAAAGAAGTCTTCAGTGTCCTTCCTCAGCAATTATCATCCTGTCGCACTCATACACATCATCATGAAGTGCTTCGTGAGGCTTGTCATGAGGCACATGAAATCACAGCTACCCCCTTCAATGTACCCCCTGCAGTTTGCGTATCGTCCCACCCGCTCAACAGATGATGATCACCACCACCCTTCATTTGACCCACACCCAACTGAACCTACCGATGCTCAGCCCTCTGCTGATCACGTTGATGATCCACAACTGTGCAGCAATGCACAGCAAAAACCACATTACCAGCTTCACTGATGATACAACAGTGGTGGGTCTGATTTGTGAGAACGACAAGGTGGTGTACAGAGAGGAGGTGCAAGGACTAACGGACTGATGTGTAAGCAACAACCTGTCTCTGAATGTCAACAAGACAAAGGTGATGGTTGGAGACTTCAGGAGGACACGCTGTGACCGCTCTCCACTAATCATCAATGGATCCCCAGTGGAGATCATCTAGAGCACCAAGTTCCTTGGTGTTCACATTGCAGAGAACCTCACGTGGACCCTCACACCAGCTCGATCTCCAAGAAATCCCAGCAGTGGCTCTACTTCCTGCATAGTCTGAG